CCCCCCTGAGGGGCCCCCCGGGGCCCTTCACTCGACTGCGCCGGCCGCCGCCCCCCGCCTACCCACCTTACACTACCCTGCCACCATCATTTTAATTTGAATCAATTCCTCTCCTACCGTCCAAGCAGCGCCGAGACGAGTGACCTTGGACGCACAGCCACAGCAAACATTCGTCCGTGAAGTTTCCCGTTCATTCATATATAGGGAAAGTATTACCGAGTACGTCTCAACGAAATACTATTAATTCCCTGTCATCTGGAGCTGCACATTTTCAAGTGAAGAGTCACATGTGACGAATGAGGGTTTTTAAGTTTTTGTTGATAGTTAAATGATCGGGGAATCAGAATGAAACCTGATGCATTACGTAACTTAATGTGCAGTTACAAAGCTCATATCCCATAGAGCTGCACAAAAATAAAAAGTGACGCACTGCTCATGTGCAGAATGAACCCGAACGTTTTCCGAAAACAACGACGAACTGAACGAAACATCACGGAAAAATGTTTGATGTGACCGCACCTCACCGTCCGTCACCATCATCAACACCAGAGCAGGATAAAAAGAGAGGGGTAGAAGGATAAGTCGGTGAAAAAATAAAAATGTCGCCAGTGGCAGAGAAAGGGTGGAAAACAAGAGAGCGACGCCACCTTTTTTGCTCTCTCGGTGCGTCCGCCTTATTTTCTTGTCAACAGAGAGCGCCGCGACGCCGCTCTTCTTCTTCCTTTTGGCTTCCCTCTTTAAGAATGACGCGCGACATCACTGACGCCGTGCCCCCCCCCCTCACTCACTCTCTCTCTCTCTCTCTCTCTCTCTCTCTCTCTCTCTCTCTCTCTCTGTCCCCAAGGGTCTTAGCAGCGAGGAGTCAGTCCCCGGATAGGGTATAAGGGAGCCGGCTAAGCACGTGATGCGTATGACTTTTTGAAAAGGCGAATTATCTTGTAGGCCTCTCTCTCTCTCTCACTCTACTCTTCCTTTAGCTCCTTTTGTGGGGCGCGAGCAGCAGCAGCCCCTCTTCACCACGAGACCCCGGGGGGGGGGGGGCTGAGGGGAGGGCCGAGGGCAAGACATAAGCCCCGCGCCAGCCGCATCAAAACGTAATGGCGCGCTGAATAAGTCAATGGCAAAGGGCGGGGTGGGGGCCGGAGGGAGCCTTTGTCGATGACCCCAGCAGCCCGCGGGGGAGCGCGTCGTGGCGGGGTGGAGTGGAGGGGCCTCGCGGTGCGGCGCGAGAGGGAGGGAGGATCCACAAGGGCTCAACGGAAGGCTACGACGCCGCCGCCGCGACTGCAGGAAGAGGCGTGGCGTGGCGGGGTGGGGCGGGGTGGCTGAGTTGTGGGCGGCGGTGGGAGGGCCCCAAGATGGGGCCGCCGCGCGCCGTGAGCGCTCGCTGCTCGCGCAGCTCAAGAGGCCGGCTCGGATGCTCGCGAATGCGGAAAATAATAAAAACACAAAAGGGAACGCCCAGCAAACAAAGTCAGCGCGACTTACCTGGTGCCTTGCCGTTCTCGTAGTCGTTCTTACAGACGAACTTGTTGTCGTCTAGGACGTAGAGCTCCTCGCCGGTCGACAGCTGCTTTCTGCACACCATGCAGGTAAAGCAGTTGAGGTGGTACACCTGGTCGCGGGCCCGCCGCACCAGGTCGTTCGGCGAGATGCCCTGGCAGCAGCCTCTGCACTTGGTGCCGTACCGCCTGTAGAGAAAACAAAAACAAAAGACAAAATTGTAAAATGAGAAATTTCACAATAATATGAAATAAAAAGGGGACAGCGCATTGGTCGCCCCGCTCGTGCGGAAACCACGAAGCTGAGTCGAGATGGACCTGAAAACCGCGAAAATCTGCGACCGCGAGTACCATAGCGAAGCGCGGCGGTGGTGTCCCCGCGGCCCCACTCGGCCCCACCGGGCCAGCCCTGGCCGGCCAGCAGGTGGTAAGGGTGCGGTGTGAATCTCATTTGCTGTGGTATTTGCATGGAACGCAAGTAATTATCTGGGCGTCAACACTCCAGTCGCGTCCTCCTCTCCGTTCGCCCGGCCCAGCCCTGCAGAGCGCCGCCGCCCGCACCACCCCCTACCAGTGCCACTGTCATCCTCCCCCTCCGCGTGCCCGGCTACTGCTGAGGGGCGGAGAGATCGACCTGCCGCCCGTCCGATACCCTGTTCGTGCGCAGGACCTCGTCACCCGTTTTCCTCCATCCTGGACCGGACGAACGGGCGGATGGACGGCGGGCACGCCCAGCGCGAGTATACGCGCAGATGAGTAGTGATATACAAGAGTTTCCCTCTCACTTATTGTGCTTTTTCGCCTCCTCTTTCTCCTTCTCTCTTTCACTCTTTCCGAGGTGTAACAATAATTGTAACTGCATTGTATCCGGGGGACGCGTGCACAGCTGAGGAGGCAAGGTACCGAAGGTACCCACGCACCCCCACCCCGCCCGTCACGCCCGCGTCGCATCACCGGTCGGGGCGTAAGTGCAGCCGGTGGGAGGTGGGCGTTCGCTTGCTTTTGTGGCACCGACAGACATCAAAAGAGCCTGGCGACCCCCGTCCCCCGTGGCACAAGAGCAGCGCGTCTCCTCTGTCTTTTGTTATTGTCATTATTATTTTGATTGTTCTTATTCACGCGAACTGTCCGGATTTCGCCATTTCAAAGGAGTAAGTTTCAAGTTTCGTTCATGAAACCATAGGAAATGAAAGAGGCTGATATATTTCGTGCTGTTCATCTACGCTGCTGAAGAAGGGTACATGCCACCTCACACCTCATCACCTCTGAGGATGGCTGGAATTTTTGCACAGACATCGTGAGAAAGGAGAGGTACAGTAATAAAAAATAAAAATAAAATATCAATAAATAATAAACACAAAGATGGCGGGCACGAGCAAAAAGGAAAAATAGAGACAGGGGCAAAGCAGAGGAGCGCGCTACAGTATCGATCAGGGTTATTGCCTGCTGTGCTGCCCTGTAGTGTTTTGCCCCGAGCAGCGCCATCGGCAAAAGAAGCGTCACCGTCTCCTCCAAGCAGCAGCAGCATGGCGACGCTCCACGACGCCAGGCCACGCCAGGCCACGCCAGGCCACGCCAGGCCACGCCAGGCCACGCCAGGCCACGCCAGGCCACGCCAGGCCACGCCACGGCGTAGTCAAGCGGCACGGTGCACAGATAGCCGGAGGTGCTTATGGTTACGGTTCAACGCTCTCCCCTTGACGCGTGCATGAGAGATGAGGCAGAGGGAGCGAAAGAGAGAGAGAGAGGGTGAGCGGTCGAGACAGAAAGAGAGAGGGAGAAAGAGCAGCGGAGAGAAGGGGAGCAGAGGGAGAGGGGGGAGGATTTAAAAGCGAGCGAGACGGTAGCAAGATCACCATCAGCCGCGGGAGGACCAAAAAACTCTCACATAAATCGTTCATCCACGCCTCGAAACAAGCAGAGCAGCAACAACAACAGCAGCAGCAGCAAGAGCAGAGCAACCGGGTAGCAGATGAAGGTGAAGGTACAGTAGGGGGAAAAAAGTGAGGGGGATTTTTTTTATTTTTTATCAAGTGACAGCACCACGTGGATTTCTTATCATCGCACGAAAGATGAGGGGCGGGAGGGAGCGAACGGGAAGAGAGAGTACGGAAAAAGTCGCCATCTCCCCGTCCAGCTCCTCCCCACACCCTCTGCGCGCACCACACCAAACAACAAAAACCATCCCACATCATAAGGGCATAGAATTATAGATGTTTTTTAGAGTGGAACTTTTACTGATAGAAATTGTCACTCCATAATAGGCCGAAAAAAATATATCGGTGAAGTGAATGGAAAATGGTTGAGGGGAACAAGGCGGGG